AGTACGCCGCTCCGTTCTCTTTTGGACCCTCTCCGCGGTGCAAGCAGAACCGTGACTATTGGTTCGTTAGTATCTATCGTTGAACTTGGATCCGAGTTTGAAGACTATACTCATTTGTTCTTCAAACCCGTTATTCTCAAACGTCGAAATGCACACGCCTGATCTATTATGTTAATTCTAAGAGAATTCTATTCTTTTTCATACGATACTTTGTAAAGCGCTAGTGATAGCATGCGATAAAACATGGTAATTATCTTTGAGGTAGAGATAATGATCTTTAGTAGAAAGTTCTTTATGAAAAAATTGACATTTTTATGTTTATAGATAATCGAATATGTATTTTATAATTATCTATCTTCATATAAATAATTTATAAATTATGAATTGATTTTGAATTATATTTTAGTTTGATGTAATTTTAAATCGATGTTGGTTAAATGTATTACATTCTTTAAATCATTTTCAAATTTATACTTTTCTTATGTTTAAGAAAGATATGAATCATTATTGATAACACGATTTTCAGTTTTATGTCGAAGTTTTTATTTGCTGAAACAAATTAAAACAAAATTATTAATTTTATAAAATATTTTAGTATATTATATATGGTTAATTAATTAACAAGCAAGTATATCATATATCAATGTTGGAACTGTGATTTGTTTAAAATTTGAACACGTGGTGTATATATTATATATATACACACACACACACACATATATATTATATATTATATATTATATATATATATATATGTATATATATATTTGCGGATCATAGTGCCGCTACGTAACTGTATTTATTTTCCTTTCCTTTCCTCCCGAGATAAGACATATGTATATATATATATCTTATACATATAAGAAACGTGTTATTAATCGTCCAACGATGTAATTTGCATATGTATTCATATATGTTTTAATTTTCTTTGTCTTTTTTTTTAAATCGTTTATTATGGTTCTTTTTCTTCCTCTTTTGTTCTCTCTATTAATCACATTTTACATGGTTGAGAACGAAATGCTAGTTACGCGCTAATTCTTGGGACTTTTGATTGGTTGTTCAGCTTCTTGTTAATTCTTATTTTAGAAACAGATGTTGCACACGGTCTTATAGTGGCTGGTTGAAGAAACGAACATAGAAGTGAAGTATAGTAGACACATGAATAGTCCGTGGAATGCTTAGAATAAGATTGTTGCAATTTGTAACTGTAACGAGTCATGATGATTGACTATTGCTTAGTTCTTGATGGAAGAATTCATACTCTTTCGTGCTTCCGCTTTTCTTGTATTCGTATAGCATACAAGTTATGATGTAGTATTCAAACTATGGTGTAGTATACAAGCTATGGCTATGGTACAGATAAACGGACGTAGCGTACAATGACCTCTGCATTCCATGAATTGTCTTCGTCTTCTGAAAACTTCGTCTTGCGAATATAGACCTTGAAATTAATTCTTGGATAATTAAGTTACTTCAATAGTAAAAATCGATATATTTTTTTTTAGAATATATATTATATATTATTATATTATATTACCATTATAATACTATTATAATACCATTATAATACCAATTATCTACAATGATCTTACAGATTTTTTTTATCTATATCGTCAAGAATGTTTTTGTGATTTGTTGAATTAACAGAAATATCAATAAGAAAATTAATTCATATATATCATTTATATTCTTCATTAATATTCTTCATTTATATATATTCTAAATGAAAAAACATATATTGTAATTGTTCTGGATAAAATTCTAAAACGATTATAAATGATCATTTAATATAATAAAACAATTAAGAAAATATTCTTCAAAAACAAATTATATTATAATAAAAATAATTATTTGTAATGACTTTTATGTGTAATTTTTAAAAAAATTTTTAATTTTTAAAAAAATATTTATAGTGATTTTTACAGAATTATTATTCAATTTTATTTTATTTAAATATAAAATTTTCTTTTATTATCTTTAAAATCCATTATTTTTTATATATTTATTAAAATTAAGTGCATAAAAAACTGTACAGAATGTTAAAATATTCATGAAATATTTTTGTAGAATTGATTTTTAGAGATAATTAAAATAAATATAAAAAGTTGCTATACAAAAATTTCAATTAAATTAAATTCGCTTTAGATAAAACGAAACAAAAATTGAATGCATCAATGAAGATGGTATTATTCTCTTTTCTTTTTTTATCTCATTTTGTTTAACGCAAATTTTAAACAATTATTTATAATTTAATAAATAAACCTTAATTGATATTTTTATATATCAATTTTTTGACTTCTAAAATTGATTCTTTAAAAGTATCTCGCAAATATATTAAATAAAATAAATCTTGTATATAACATATAATATTAGTTAAAAGTTTTTTAATAATCAATTTTTATTCTTGTACTTTTGTAATGAAAATAAAAGATCATTTTATATTAGAAATTTATCCAACTTAGAAATAAATAATAATAATAAATTTCTTTTCGTATATCAATCACTTATTCATCCATCTATTTATCTATCCAATTATTACGATTATACATGTATAAAATCAAATTTAATGAAAAAAAAAAAGATTTTTATACCAACTTTTCAATAAGCATAATGTTAATGTTTTAAACATTTTTATTACGTAATAAATATGAAATGAAATATAGAGAATAACACAAGGTCAATAGTACTGCTCTGCTTTGATTCATGTTACGTGATGCTTCTTTTACTTCGGGAAATATTATTTTTTGTGATTTCAATCGTTGTAAAGGAAAAAAAAAAAGATATTGAATGAAAGACGAAGAAACGCATGTTGTACTTCAGATCGATGATATAATCGCTATAATCATTAAAACGTTTTTCTTCATTTTTTTTGCTGTTAATTAAAATAAGATTAAATGTTAATGTAGCAGAATAATTCCATATAATGTAAATATTTGTTTATATTAGATAATGAATTTATAATATATTCAGAAATTCAGATTCAATAAATAAAAGAAATTATTAAAGGATTTATTTAAATAATCGTAAATTATTTTAATTACTTTTTAGAAATCCTCATTCAATATTATATACAATTTGTATTGTAATAAGAAAATCATTGAAATTTTTATACACTTACTTTTTCTTAATTTATTATTATAAGATTAGATTATATATCGAATTATATATGAAAAAAATATTTAAATTAATTTTCTAAAAATGGTATATTATAACATATCTTATTATGTATTTTTTTATATTTGTAAAATTAAAAATATCTGTTAAATTAAAAAAAATTTACATTTCTTATAAATTAATAAATAATAATATCAAATGAATAATGTCTATTTAAATGTGTACGATTTATTTGTAATCGAAAACTGTAATTGTAAACTAATTTAAGTTGTATATTCATAAACTAACCAAAAAAACAATATGCCTACTTACATGTACGTTTGATATATTTACTTACAAATATTCTATATATATAATATATTTTTCGAATATATTTATTTCTCTCAAAATATCTTTTCTTTATTAATTCTATTTACACTATCACATATTAACGTTTAAATAATATTTAATTAGAATTAAGTTGGTACTGATTTATTTTGTTTATTCTAAAGAAATTTTCACTCATAAATTAGATCGAAAATATAGATCGAAAATTTCATCAATCAATGCCATCTAGCGGATTGACACTGGAAGCTTCGACTTGTTAAGCGGAATACAGAACATACAAGGAGGTATTCGTCATGATGACGTCACGATAAAGGAAAGGAAAAATATTATAAGAGAAGGATAGAGAAAATGTGCCGCTAACTTTGGTTATATCGTTCCTAATATTTTCTAATACGTTGAAAATTAATTAATTACAAATTTTCTACTAGAAATTTATACACTTTTAGATTCAAATCTTGAAGTTCAAGTTTTCTACAAGTTTCTTGTATAAATTTAAACGATAAATTCTTTTCGATTAATATTTTCATAATTAATTAATTATTATCATAGAGAGTATCAGTTACCGACAGTTCGTAATCAAATAATTCGAATAATCAATTTATTTGTTAAAATTACAAAAAAATTATAAACAAAAGTTATATATTAAAATAAAAGGGGAAATAATTTTTTAAATGCATACATTTATATTCAGAAATAAATCACATATTAATGAAAATATAATATAAAAACGCATTATAATTTATCGATGTAATTAATGTAATAATAATTAATATTAAGTAATAAATAATTAATTAAAAAATTTCCCGTTAAAATTTATACAAACTTTTTATTAAATTTATACGATAAAATCAACTTCAAGGTGATTAATATATCACATAGGAATAATACACATAATACGTTTTTCGTTACATTTTCATTAATATGTGATTTATTTCTGAATATAAATGTATACATTTAAAAAATTATTTCCTCTTTTATTTTAATATATAACTTTTGTTTATAATTTTTTTTTTAATTTTAATGAATAAATTAATTATTCGAATTATTTGATTACGAACTGTCGGTAACTGATACATTCTCTATGATAATAATTAATAAATAATTAATCGAAAAAATTTATCGTTTAAATTTATACAAAAAACTTGTAGAAAATTTGAACTTCAAGATATGAATCTAAAAGTGTAGAAATTTCTAATAGAAAATTTATAATTAATTAATTTTCAACGTATTAGAAAATATTAGGAACAGTATAATCAAAGTTAGTGGCACGTTTTCTCTATCCTTCTCTTATAATATTGCTTTCCTTTATTGTGACGTCATCGTGACGAATACCTCCTTGTATGTTCTGTGTTCCGCTTAACAAGTCGAAGCTTCCAGTGTCAATCCGCTAGATGGCATTGATTGATGAAATTTTCGATCTATATTTTCAATCTAATTTATGGATGAAAATCTCTTTAGAATAAAGAAAATGAATCAGTATTAACCTAATTCTAATTAAATATTATTTAAGCAGAAATGTATAATAGTGTAAATAAAATTAATAAAGAAGAGATATTTTGAAAAAAATGAATATATTGGAGAATATATTATACATAATAATATATCTGTAAGTAAATGTATCAAACATACGTGTATAATAGGTATATATTGTTCTTTTGATTAATTTATAAACATACAACTAAAATTAATTTTTGATTAGACATTTACATAATAATTATTTATTTATTATTATTAAAAATTTATATTTCAAATTAAGGAAACGTTCATAGATATATATAAAAGATAATACAATGAAATGGAGTAATTTATGTTGATCACATTTAATTGTTGAAACTATAAACAAAATTGAAATAATATAAATTGAAATTGAAAAAATTCTGGATCTTATAATAAATATTTTATATTTTTATTATATATTTATAATAAATATAATAAAATTCTGGATTGTTTACAATTTTGAAGGTAATTGTTAATTGGCATAATATAATTAATTGTTAAAATATTTTATTTGAAAATATGACAAATTTGATGAAAAATTATTTTTTTCTATATTCTATTTTAATAATAAACATTTGTAAATATTGCTATATAATATAGTTGAATAAAGTTAAGGTAATAAGAACATTATAACAATTTGGAGTCGAAATATTTCATCGATATAAATGTAACATAATTTTAATCAATAATCAAGAATAATAATTAGGATAATGAATATAACTCTTAAGTCCAAAAACTGAAAAAATTTCATCAGTTTTATATTTCAAAAAATTCTTTTACTATAAGTAAATTTTTTCCTTTTAGATACCGAGGAAAAAGAAATAAAATGGAAATGACAAGAAACATTCTAATACTAATTTGATCTCGGAATGAAATGAATAAAATAACAAATATATATATAGTTAATTTTGTAAGTCATGTAGTTTAAAGAAACAAGAAAACTTTTTTAAAATACTCAGAACAGCAAGTCTATTTTGTAAATTTCTCATATATATATATATATATATATTATATATATTTTGCTTAATTTCTGAAAATATAATAATTTAAGAATATATTAATTTCCATAGTTTAGATTAATCAAGTTACTTGAATTTAAATGAAGTAAGAGATTTTAAAGTTATGTAATACGATTGAAAAATGTTTTTTTTTGAAAATATGGCAGCATAAAGTGATAATAATATAAAATGATAATAAATATAAAATATGTACTTTAAATTTAAAAAAAAAAAAATCTTCGTATATCGTATATATTGTCCAATTATATTCTCTTAATAAAAAGGAGAACGACACGCGGTTGACGATGACACAAGTTTTTCAAAAATTTTAAGGTAGAAATTTATGTTCAAATTTAAAATCTTGTATTAAAAAAGTATAATTTAAAAGACAATGATAAACTTTTTTGATATTTTCAAAAATAAAAATCTTCAATCAAACATTTACATGTATACAAGTTTACAAGTATGTAAACATTTACATACTTAATATACATAATATAATATTAATTTTATATGAAATATAAATAATAATACTTATCATTTACAATTGCTTTTTTGAAATATTTGCATTTTTTTTTACAATGTTTTTATTTTTAGATATATTTATTTTAATTAATTAATAGTTAAATAAAAATTAATAAAATTTTACTACTAAATATATAATTTTATTATATTTGTAAAATTAATTATTTCATATTTCTTAGCAATCTAATAATAATCAATGTTTAAATTCTTTTGTGATGTTCAACTTGAACCATTGCTAATAGGAATCAATAATTTTAAGAGATAATCAATATCTAAAAAAACTTGTTTGACTGGATGAACAACTAGATATTAAATATTGCGAATTAAGATCGATCAAAATTGTTTATCACAAGGATATAAGTCACTCATCAAATGGATTTTGAGAGAGATGGCTACGTCTCGATATCTCAAGATAGGACGAGAGAGAAAGCGGACTCCTTTCGGCTTTTACCAATCTCGTGGACGATGTTTTGCGTTTTGTGCAGAACAGAGAAAGTAAAAGTATCACTGCTACATGACACAGCAAGCTGGTTTCTTCCATCATTCACTTTCATTCTCTTTGAATATTTACATTTAAGATGGAATGAACGAGCTACATCACGGTAATTTTTGATAAAACGTTTATTATGATTTCACTCTAACACAATTAATTTCAAATATAAATATAATTAAAATTTAATATTTATTTAGAATTTATATACAATTAATATTAGTTAAAAATTTTATTATTTATTTAACGTGATAATTATATTTATATTATTATTTATAATTATGTTTATTTCAAAATACATATTTTTATTCATAAATTTCTGTTTCGTTAATAAATTTTAAATCTATTTTCATTATAATTAAAGGCGAGAAGACTTTATCTTTATAATGACTCAATTTTCATGCTTATTATATATTCTTATTATTTTGTCCTTGTTATTCATTTTTTTACTTGTTTTTCATCTGTTTGTTAATATTAAAATTATCTTTCTTATTGATGGATAAGATGGTATAAGATGATAAAACATTTTTTATCATGTTTACGTATCATCTAAAATTACAAAAACAAATTAATGATATCTTTGTAATCATAGAGAAAAAAATAATATTATATAAACACAAATAATATTATAATTTTTAAGAATTCTCTTTTTTTAAAATTTATTTTAATTAGTAAAAAAAATATTTATTATTATAATTTTTTTAAAATATGTATTATTTTTTTATTTTTAAGAATAATATAGAACAAATATTGTTTTTTGATTAGATTGATTAGATTGTTTTATTTATTTTTTATTCTATTATCTGAAACATTGTAATTAAACTTTTATAAAATAGTTTTTATACAAAGATGAAAAAATTGCAGTCTTGTGAGAATCAGTCAGCAACGATACTTTTACTCTATTAGCAAAAATGAATGAGATAAAAAATTTTATTGTCATTCTTTAAAACTCATTTTTATTATAAAAATCAATTTTATCATATACATATATTCTTAATTACATTTGTAAATTTTTAAATATTAAAAAAATTACATTAATATTTAAAAGAATTTAATTAAATTATTATTATTATTGTCTCAAAATTTAAAATGATGATGTTAAAAAATAAAATGATCAATTATTTTTTCTATAAAATCGATTGAGCATTATTTTATTGTTTGTATACATTTTATTATAAAGTTTATTTTTTAAAAAAAGAGCAATATGTTAAGAGAAAAAACAATATATATAAATAAAATTTTGAATTTTTTTTAAATTTAATAGAATTATAAAAAATTATAAAATTATTGAATTGAATTAGACTTTGTAATACAAAATATAAATTTCTTAAAAAAAATAAATATTCCAAGAATTATTCTAAAAAATAAAAAAATAATCATGAAAAATAAAAATTATATTTATATTATTTTTTATATAAAAATTATTATATTTCCATTCTATTATATAATTGTTTTTTGTGTTTCACATTTTTTTATTCATAATCGCATAAAAATTAAACAATTCTCTATGTACAAGAATTTCATACTACTATGATGCGGATCGGTCAGTAAATACACTTTTATGAGATTGATCCTTTCTCTGGCACTTTTTTAATGGCGCATGTGTCAGGTGAAACGCCGCAATTCGTATATCTGAATTCTCTCCCGAGAAAGACGGACATTTCGCAATGAATTTTATTGTGAAACGATAAATCGGTGTAGCACAAACTAACAACATTCGAAAAATATTTCAACGAACCATCGTCAGGCAACTGTGATCATTGCTTTTCGCCATTGCGCGACTATTTTTAAAGTTCCTCTTTTTTTACCTCATCGTTAATTTCATCCGATTTGGAAATTCTGTTTCATTATATTTCTTTTCTTTTTTCATAATTAGATTTTCCTAAAAAGTATGTTGGATTACATAAACTTCGCGCACGGATTCATAGAGTAAATTTTAGAAATGTAGAAAGTATATTTACATCTAATGTACTGATTTCAATTATTTAATTAAATTCTTTTAAATATTAATGTAATTGATTGACAACTCAATGATTGCATATAATTAGTCATAATTGAACATTTTTTTATATAAAAATGGAAAATAAATATTATTTTGTAATTTTCAAGATATATAATAAAGTGTGTATATTTTACAAATTGAATAATTATAGTATATTTTTTAGAATATTTAGAATATTTTTTAGTGTATTTTTTTTTGATCAGCAACTATGATAATTTTGTAAGAATTTGTACTATCATTAAAAATATTTAGATTAAAATTATAATTTTGAATTTATACAATTTCACTTGTTCAATTACTCAATATTTGTATAATTTTTTTATTAAGAAATATTCTAAATTATAATAATTTTAATGTAAAATGTAATATTAAAATATTTCATAATAATTATAAGAATATTCTTTACTTTTATAGATAAGAGATTAACTAAATTTAATATATATATTTATTTAATTCAATATATTACAAATCTCAATCACATATATATGATTAATGCATAATTTTTGCCTTTTTTTCTAATATTTTTTTTAATTTTAACTTTTATTATTATTTTTAAATTATATTTTTCAATAATATTTAATTTAAAATAAAAAATTTTTCCATGCAAAAAGATAAATCAAAATTACATAATATCAATTATTAATCTCTGAATATATACAAAATAAAGTAATATTTTAAAAATAAGAAAAAATAAATCTTTGATATCTTGATTCAGGATAATAATTTTCGAAGTTCTATGTTTTAAAAATATGAATATATATTTTTATAAAAATATGAATATATATATATATATATATTTTTTGAACTTCTATGGAACAATGTTAAATAAGTGTTAAGAAACATTGGAGATCAAGAGCTATTCATTAAATAGCTATCTTCTTATAACGAAAAGCAATTCACACGCGATCTATGTTGTCCAAGTACGAAAATTGGCAGAACATTTATTCCATTGTATTGACACAAGTTCTAAAAGTTGTTTCCTGTAAAAAAATATCGATGAAATTAATTTTTACTGTTTTTTTCATGACTAGATATTTGTGAACTGAAATTAATTGGCAAATTGTGTATAGAACCGGTTTTATCTAAATATATTTTAGAAGTCCTTGAAAAATATTATCTTACAACTGTATAACTTGGAAATGTTACGACACTTTGTGTAACTTTTATCAGATTTTTCATAATTAAACTTTTAATGATAGATATGTAAAATCATCATTATATATAATTATTGTATGTAATTATAATTATACAATATTTAATACATATTAATAAATTGTTGAAAATCAAATCGATCAATTTTATATAAAAAATTCATGAAATTTTATGAAATCAAGTTAATGAAATTTTCATTAAAACTAAATAAACTAAATATACTACAAGAATTTTCAAATGATGATAATTTTTATGTCGTAAAAAATTATTGTTAATTAGTTAATTATTGTTAATTAGTTATTAGATCATTCTTATTATGAACGAATTGAAATAATTCGCAGAATGATAATTTAAAATGTATTTATATGCATATAATTATTTTTTTACTAAGAATCTAAATCATGTGTAATATCATCATATATAATGATATGTATGTAAAATCAATTTACATCATTTATAGATGTAAATTATTATTAATTTTGAGATGTAAATTATTAATTTTAAAATATTAATTGCTATTATCTATAATATATATTAAAATAGTTTATTTTATTAAAATATGATTGTATTTGTAAATGCTTTAAAAATACTAACATATATGTTAATATATAATCTGATATGATAATTATGCATGTTATATTCGTTAAATGAATATTATTCACTTAGTGTGTTAAAATTAAAACCTGTCCAAGATTAGTTAACAGCTCAAGATTTTCTCTATTGTGAAACACATAAAAAAAATATTATCTGAGATATTACTACATTCGAAATCTATTGCATAAATTTTTCATTAATTATGTATCTCATAGTAAATTAAAATATATATAAATAAAAACATGAAAGCTAAAATATGCTAAAAGTTTTTTATATATAATAAAAACCAGATAAAAATTATAAAAGTTGAATATAAAAGTTATTAAATTTATAAAGGTTAAAATGAAGTAAAAATATCTAATATTTAAATAAGTGAGTTCTAATAAAAAGAAGATTAATTCAAAAAAAAAAAAAAAAGATTGAAAGAATTCATATAAAAAGGGAAATTCAAAAATTG